AGCTTAGAGAGGCTGCCTTTCTCCACTTTTAGAGCCAGCAGGGGCAGTTTGAGTCCTTCCTTTGAGAGCATCACTCTGACCTGGTCTTCTTACTCCTTCTTCCACTGTAAGGATGCTGGGGACTCTGTTAGGCGCTCCTGGAAATCCAGAATGATCTCCTTATTTTAAGGTCAGCTGATTATCATCCTTCATTCCCATTTGCCATGGAAAGTAACATTTTCCTAGGTTCTGGGGATTAGGATGTGGACATCTTTGGGGGCCATTCTGCTGCCCACCACTTCTATTGTCTTGAACAATTTTTTATTTTAGATCATTTGCTGTTATAAATCTCAGGTGGAGGTTCATCTCATCGCCCTCTCCAAGTGTAGACTCCTCAAAGACTGAAATTGTGTCTTGCTTCTCCGTGAATTGCCTATAACTTGAATTTTAAACCCGAGTTTCTGTTATCCCTGGGGGTATGGAAGAGCTTTCCATGGGGATGTGAGCAAAGGTAGATCCAAATGAATCCACTCCAGCATCCTTTGCTCAGACATATCTACCTGAGAGTGCACCTGCTGTGATGGCCAGTTCTCCTTTGTCCTCTTCTTTCCAGATGCTTTCCTCTCACTTTTTCAGAGGAAGTGGTAGCTCTTCCCCACCCTAAAGTGCCAAACAGAGACATTAAAAATGCCTATGTCTGTGCAACCCTCATATTTATTTATTTGGCTGCGCCAGATCTTAGTTGTGGCATGTGAACTCTTAGCTGCAGGATGGATCTAGTGGGATCTAGTTCCCTGACTAGGGATCGAACTCAGGCCCCCTGCATTGGGAGCTCTGAGTCTTAGCCCCTGAACCACCAGGGAAGTCCCTCTGGAACCCTCATATTGATTAAGACTTGTATTTTCAACAAATTGTGTTATGTATATTTAACATGTATACACCAATATTTTTAATATATCTACAATGCCTTGATCAAATGTATAGACTCCAAAGGAAAAAATTTTAACATTCAGAGCCTAACATGCAGAAATCAAAAAGTAAATTACAATTTCAGTTAATGTATGTTTTTCTTGCATAAAATTTGATAGGATGATTAATAAAAGACTTAATAGCATAAAAATTACAAGTACAATAAAATTATGCTAAGAAAAGTAAATATAATTTCAAGGAGGAAAAAGGAAAAGTGTAAACCTTTCTGACTCATAAAGAAGAGTTTGTTTATGTAGTTTTTAAAATAGCTGATGGTGGGTATCAAATTGCTATGGCATTTGGATTCCTTTGGAAACTTTAAAAGAGTGATGTAACAGTTTTATATTTTATAAAATGTCAATATTTACAATACAGTGGGAAGTGCATGGTTTATACTATTTAAATTTATGATGAAAATGTGCAGGGGCTTATATACAGCATCAGAATTCTTTTAGGAGTAGTATGGGCTTGAAAGTTTGAAGACCATCTACCCTATGGCACTTTACACATGATGGGTGCTTAAAAATGTTTATATTTGAAGAGGGATTTAAGTGGAGTTTGTAAAACATTAGAAGAAAGAGAAGTGAAAGTGATGTTGCTCAGTCGTGTCTGACTCTTTCTTTGCAACCCCATGGACTGTAGCCTACCAGGTTCCACCATCCATAGGATCTTCCAGGCATTAGAAAGAGTACAGTTAAAGTGGTCATACGAGTTTAAAATGAGAACATTTCATGAATAAGATCCTCTGATGGATGACTGGGATGTGCACCCTTTAACAGCTAGTGAGCATCTTTGGAATCTCGGTTTCATTTTTCCAGTAGCAACTACTTCTTTCCTTCCCTGCCACCAGTTGTTCTACAGTTCCATTCAGTTCTGACACTCAGTACCTGGATCTGACACAGAGCCCACGGGTCAGGATCTGAGTCTCGTAAGACTGCTTCCCCCCTCCAGATGCCAGTTGCAAATAGGGTCCCCAAGCTACCTACACTTCTGTCTGGCCAGCTACAGAATGGGGATTCCCATGACCCCCAACCCCACTCGGGTTCCATAATTTGCTAGAATGACTCAAAACTCCAGAAAGTGCTATGCTTAGCAATAATAGTTTTATTATGAAGGATACATCTCAGGAACAGCCAAACAGAAGAGATGCGTAGGATGAAGTTGAGGGGAGAGGGCACTTCTGTGCCTTCTCTGGGGTGCCAGCCTCCTATCACATCGGTGAGCTCACCAACCTGAAAGCTCCCCCAGCTTCGTTGTTTCATCATACAGCCACAGTTGATTAAATCACTGGCCACTGTTGACTAGGCTCAGTCTCTAGCCTTTCTCCTCTCTCCAGAGATCAAGGCTGTGCAGAGAGTGGTGGGGTGGGGCTGAAATTTCCAACCTGTGGTCCACTCCTGTGGTTGGTTTCTCTGGCATTCTGCTGCCATCCTGAAACTATCCAGTGGGTCTGCCAAAGTTCATGTCATTAGCATAATTTCTGGTGCTGTCAAAGGAAGTCATTACGATTAACAAGACATTCTCATCACTCAGAAAACTCCAAGGTCTTAGGAGCTCTGTGCCAGTCACCCAGGACAAAGACCAACTACTGTGTGCGTGTGTGTGTAAAATACATGTCATATATCTTTATTTATTTATTATACCACATTGTCATTCTCAGAAATCAGGAATCTTCTTCCTCAGTCTGGGAAGATCGGGGGTTGGCTTAAGGGAGCAGAAGCAAGTGTAACTTTATGGCCTTTGCCAAGTCTCAGAGGACTAGCACTTGGCAAGGCTCTTGTTAGAGACTTTAATTGCTCACTTAACTAACCACCCAGCCACCCCAGCAACTTCACAGCGTGCTAGATCCGAGGCTAGGAGCCTAGGAGCCAGGAGGTGGAGGGTGGAGGGGAGGCAGGAGATGCAAAGCTGACTTAAGCACAGTTTCTGGCCTGGAGGAACCTGCAGTCCATGGTGAACCGCCCATCTTTCTCTGCTGTCCTCTGCTATTCTCTCAGGTCGTGTCTCACTGGTAGAAGATGCTGCTGGTAGAAGGGGATTGGGCCGTCCACACTACCTGCCACTGGGAGCCTGCCAGGGTCCCCAGTGTGGCAGCTGCTTCGCTCCCTGCCCCATTGCCTCGCACATCCCCCTGGGTGACCCCTGCAACCTCCCTCACCTATGCTCCAGTCTGCCTTAGTCTGTTCATTCCTCCTTAGCAGGTTTGAGTCCATTTTTAGGGGTGGTGAGTGGACGGAAAAATGTCACTAATCACTTATGACAGATGTCACCACAGCTTAATTAAGACCAGACAGTTTCAGCTCAGGAACTTCATAGATGATGTGGGAAGAATGTTTGATCACAGAGCAAGGATTCAGGGTCTCCGGCAAACTCCTGTTATCAGTCTGTCTCACTTTTCTGCAAAGAGGTTAACTCTACAATGTAGGAGATGCAAAATGTGTGAACTGTAGTTTCCATCCTCATGGAGGTTTTAATTAAAAATTAAAAGCTTGTGTGTGAAAAGAAAGAAGGCATAAAACTGTATTTAGTGCCAACACCTCCTCAGAGAGAGAGGAACTGGATTTTGGAGTCTTCCCTGGCTGCTTGGGTTCTGCCTCCTCTCTCTGCTGAGGGAGGCTGTGTGTCTGTTTGCTGGATCGGTGGTGAAGGAGTCAAGAACCTTAGGCTAGGTTTTGGGGAGAGATTTTGATGGGGAATTAGTCAAGACTGGGCAAGAGGAAGCTGTGGGTTAGAAGAGATAAGAGATATGAAGGAGAGCGATGGGGAAAGAGGGTTTGATTAAGTGTTGGCATAGATTATGAATTAGATCCCCTTTGATGTTCTAGAAGAGGTGCCAGCAAAGATTGGAATTCTCACTATTTTTGATCTCTAAACTGTGCTTCCTAAAATGGAATATCAGACAGACACTGAACCACATGACACTCTGGTTTGTATTTGGTTTATATGCATTTTTTAAATTAAAGGAATTATTGCATCTAGTGGTGTAAATGATAAAATAGAATGCGTTTGTTATTACCAAGACTCCAGTAAAAATAGCAACTCCCAGTTTCAACTGAGGCTAGCTGTGCATTTGAAAATACCTTCAGGATGAAATGTAAATTTAATCATGCTAGTCTTATGCTCAAGACTCTTCAAGGGATCCCCCTTACACTTGAAGTGAAATACCATCTCCTTACTGTAACTTCAGGCTAGGCCTCTGCCCATCCCTTTCAGGATACCTCAGGCCATTTTCCTCACTCTTCTCTGGCCCTGCTAGCCTTCTTTCAGTTTCTAGAGGACTGTAAGCTCAGCAGCTTTTGGGGGCCTTTGCATAGCTTGGGTGCTCAGTCAGCAATGCTTTTCTCCTTGTCCCTATGCACGGTATGGGGATACCATACTCTCCTCTACTGTGTGTGATATGTTCCTCTTCATCCTTCAAGTCTTGATTAAATCTCACCTCCTCAGAGAACCTTCTGTGACTCCCCCCACCTTCTGATCTAAAATAAGTTATGCCATTGTTGTTTCTTATAGTTGAATGGTGACTCCCAAGTTCTGGGTTGCACAACCCCTTAGAACCTGTGAACTGTGACCTTATTTTGAAAAATGGTCTTTGCAGATATATGCCATTAAATGAAGTATCTCAAAATGAGATCATCCTGGACTAGCTGAGTGGGCTCTGAATCCAACAACAAATGTCCTTTAAGAGATACACAGAAAAGACACACATGGGGAGAAGAGGAGATGGCCACATGAAGATGGAGGGAGAGATTGGAATGATGCAGCCGTAAGCCAGTGAGCACCTGGGGCCACCAGGAGATGAGAGAGGCAAGGAGTGAAGCTCCCCTAGAGCTTTTGGAGGGAGCGTGGCCCTGTCCACACCTTGATTTTGGCTTGTGGCCTCCAGAACTGTGGGAGAATACATTTTTGTTGCGTTTAGTCGCCCAGTGTGTGGTGCTTTGTTACAGCAGCCACAGGGAACTCATACATGCAGCGTTCTGTTCTTTTCCATCACATTGCTTATGACAAGTTGCTTTTACGTCGTGAACTTGGTGATCTATTTATTACATACTTCCAACTCCTCCTCAACATTGCTTGTCGCTGTCACATTTGGATCTTTTCCATTTCCTGCTCTTATCTGCAGTACCTGGCGTAGTAGCTGACACAGCAGATGCTGAATAGGTATTTCTTGAATGAATGAAAAGAAATAACATGACTCCCTTTTTAGAACTGCTAAAGAAGGTACCACCTTCTGGAGAGCATTGGACTTGTTGAGGTTGGAAAGCGTGCTTCTCAAGTGCTTGCATCACCTGAAGATGTCAGATGATAAAGAGCTACTGCCCTTTGTAGGGGTTGTAACCATTTCCTCTCAAGTTGAGCCCATGCTTATGATTCTCCTTGCTGACCCTTTCTTTACGGAAAGGGCAGACACTTAGCTTTCTTGTGGTCTTTGTCTGAACGACCCCAGACACCGATGGGGCCAGAGGCAGCCTCACTCCGAGCCTGATGCAGAAGTCGGGCACATCAGGTTTCAGCGGCCGCCAGTGCCAAAGAAAACACATTCTTTGAAGAGAAGGGTAATTGCTGAAGGCTTTGTCTAATGTTAAGGCAGAGGGGATGGACCATTTGAACTGGTATCATTTGAACATGATAATATATGGTTTAGGACTCAATAAAAGGGTATAATTCTATTCAGGGATTCCACTGAGCTCATAAACCACGGGAGTGTGGCTCGTCAGCAGAATGTAGAGATTGGGTTACCACGGAGCTCGTCAACAGGGACCACTCAGGGCTGTTGATCACTCATGAGAAAGAATTATCACAGGGCTCCTCTGGACTGCATCTTAGAAAGATTTGTGCCCAGATAATTCCATTAAACTGTGTGTCTGTGGTCCCAAAGTATACCAAGGATCACAGTGGAACAAACAGTTTCATTGCATGGTAAATAATGAAATTTATTTACAAAAAAGTTTGTTGCAAAAGATGCCATAAATAAGCAAGTGGGTGTTCTCTAGAACTCTGGATGAAACAGTCTTTACCTTTACTTGAGAGTTATGACTGTAAAAGTGAGAGTGGCATAGTGTGGGACAATAGGGAATAGTGGGGACTGTGGTCAGTTAGAAAGTGAATGTCTTGCTTAGACCCAGGGTTTGCCAAACAAAACATGTCTGCAGGACAGTGTGAGATCTTGGTTTACATACTTATCTTTCCACTAGACTAGGGGTTCACAAACTATAGCCCTTGGGTGAAATATGGTCCACTACTTCTATCAATAAAGTTTTATTGGAGCACAGTCCATTTGTTTACATACTATCTGTGGTTGGTTTTGAGCTTCACTGGAAAAGCATGGGAACAAATGACCTTCAGAGACTGAAATATTTATCATCTGACCTTTTACAGAAAAAGTTTGCCAATTCTTGCGCTAGGCTGTGAGCTTCTAGAGGGCAGCTTGGCACATATACTAAACTCAGTAATGTAAACTTGTTTACTTTGAGGAGGAGATTTTATATTGTCTATGGCAGGTGCTGTGTGTTGTTTTCCCAGCAGCAGTTTCCCTCTTCTTCCTTGCTAATGGGGTAGCCTTGGGCTTTAACAGTAGGGTATCGGCTTCTCCCCAGTCCCAGAGGGCGAATTTTGGTTAGTTCAAGACAATTATGGTTATTCCACTCCTCCTACTAATTCTGTGCTTTAGGCATAGGTTTGTGATGGGATTATGGCCACTGGGACGCAGGAAGTGTAGATTTCTCCAATGACTGAACTCTACTGGGGGTTCCTGAGAAGGGAAATCCTAAGGGATGGTTTCACATCCTTCAAAAAGGACCCATGGAGGAATTCCCTGGTGGTCCAGTGGTTAGGATGCTGTGTGTTCGCTGTTGAGGGCATGGGTTTGATCCCTGGTTGAGAAATTAAGATCCTGCAAGCCGAGTCAAAATCAACTCCCCCCAAAAAAACCCAACAACAACAAAAAACCCAGAGCAAAAGGGCCCCAAGGAGTGCTGTTTTCCCTTTTCCTCTGGACATTGTTGAGGGGGGCTGTGGCACTTGGATCAAGTGGAGCGTTTTGGGACAAGCCCAAGGGCAAAAGCCAAAGCTGAAGATTGCAGAGCGGAAACATATAGAGCCTAGGTTCTCAGTGGCTGAAAGCCGGATTAACCAACCCAGGGTCTATCTTACTCTTTCTGGTGGTTAAATGTCCTTATTGCTTATTCACTTTTAATTGAATTAAGAAGCTTGCACCCGAAAAATATACTGTTGTAGCTGCCTATTCTTTATTTTGGGGCTATAATATTTATGCTTGTTTACTAGGAAGGCCTCCTATAGGTTTTATAAAAATGTTCTTCTAATATTTTTCATTTAGAACTTTATTAAGAAATAATTTTTTTTATGTGGTATGAAGCAAGGGTCTAACTTTGTTTTTCTTATGATGTAAAGTAATTAGCCTCCAACTAATAAAAATAAATGGAAGAAAAAAAAAAGAAAAAAAAAGAGAAAAAGAAAAAAAAAAAGAACTTAAACATTTTCCAAAAGACAATACACATGTATAACTGAATCACTTTGTTGTATACCTGAAACACTGTAAATAAATTATACTCCAATAAAAAATTTAAATAAACTTAATAAAAAAATATATAAAAGGAGAAATCATTTTTTGTGTACGATGGTGAATGAAATCCAGTGTGCTCATAGAATTTTCATAAAGATAATATGATACTTTCTGCATTGAAAACTAATACGACAAGATTGTTTTCTTAAAAATGTCTTAGGAAAGGGCTAACTTAATTGATGATTTTTAAGTGTGATATTAATGTAACCAGAATGTTCTCTGATTTCCAAGAAGGAACTTAAAATAGCATGCAGATCTTTGCCAGAAGTTACGAATTTCAGACAGACCATATCATGTCAGAGAAACACCCATCCTGTTAAATTTATCCAATCTGGCCCATCCCAAGGAAAGATACTGGGTTATTTCCTAGTGCTGATTTAGAAAGTTGAAGAAAAAAGTCAGAGTGAAAATTTATCAGTATCTTGCACTGATGTAAAGAAAGTGATTTTGAACTGCAGAAAGTCCTTGAAGCTAATTATACTGGGAAACAACCTTTCAGGTAAATCTGCTTAAAATAGGGGTTAATATTTCTCACTGAATCTAAAACAAACAAACAAAGCCCTTTGATATATGCTTTGTTAATTAAAAAATACCTTCAATAAACTGAACTGATAACTTAATAGGAGAATATATTTGCAATACATACAACCAGAGATTAGTTATCAACATTATAAAAGGAACACCTACAAGTCAATAAGAAAAGAAAATAGAAACATGGCAAAGACATGAACATATGTTTCTCAGAAGAGGGAACAAAAAGTCAGTAAATTTATGAATATTTGTGTTAGGGTCAAAACCTCAATGAAATTCCTCTTCACACCCATTTAATTTGGAAAAATGAACCATATACTTAACCATATTTAGCTTTTAATTGCAATTGTGCACTAATTGGTGGAATGTACAAAGTACAAGTCAGATGTTTATCTTTTTGGTGTAATTAAAAAAAATTCAGCTCATAAGATGCATTACTGGATACCCAGAATCTTATTGTAAAAAGGATCAATGTTGACAAAAAAAATTGAGGGCATAAAATTTTCTGTTGAAATCATTCTTTTTGAAACTCTTACTTTTGCATCATTCCCTGCAGACTTTTCCTTTTCAGGTTATAAGCTGTTTGACTTTGGCCATATCCTCCTTTGCCAATAGTCTTACATTTGGCTTGAGCAGCTCTCCATCATTACTCATGTGTAATTCATGACTTCTTGCATCTTTGGGATGACTTAGGGTCACTGTGAAATCTGTTTGCTCTGAAATGGCGGTGCATTGTAGTGCCATTGTAGTTCCCTTGGATGTTGACAAAAGATTTCATTTAGAACTGAGTTTGGAGTGATGGGAGCATGTTTGCAGCTGGAGTGGCTGCCAGCTTCTTTTGTCTCTCTAGCAATCATTCCCATCTTTTGGACATAGCATTCTAACTTTCTTGCAGAGACTTACACCCTCCCATCTCTTAGTCCATGTGATTTGACTCTGTCTCCAGAGGTGGGCATGATCCCAGGACTGGCCACTCAGGACACCTGCATTTCCATGGCCACAAAGATTGGTTCAGAGGTGAGCATGTGACTGAAATGAGGCCAGTGGAATTTCATTCTATGACTTTTGATGGAGCCCTTGGAAAAGAGGGTGTCCCTTTCTCCCAGAGTTGCTGAGCTGCTGAAAGGTAAGCCTGGACATGCTGTGGTCATCCTTGCTGCCACTTGGGAGAAGCAGAACTGAGATCAGAGCCAGCAAAAAGGCAACAGTATGCTGTCATGGAGGCAGATAGCCTCTTCTTGACATTTTTTGAGAACCTGGAAAGGTTTTTATTTTCTAGTGTTCTTATATATTGTGTAAATTGGGTTTCTTTCACTTGCCCTCAAATGAGGCTGGTGGACAAATATGATATCAGAATTGGGATTGGATTCTTAGTCTTAGTTCACTGTATTCTCTACTTGGGTGCTCTTGCCACAGTCACTTATTCAGTTTACCTTGCCTCTGGATTTGTGGTCTAGTGAGAGGTAATGGTATCACATGTGGAAGAAATTGCCCTCTATGTTGATGGAATCTTGTTCACATCAGCCAAGCTAGATATCTAGGAAAACATTTGTTCCATAGAAGGGTGGACCAAACTTCACTCCCCATCAGTAACCTTGTATAATACCTTCAAAAAGGAACTTCATAGCAGAATGTGATTGGGAACTAGAAATGATATGGAAAAGTGTAGGTATTTGTAGAGTGTGAGAGGAGGAACTGCTCCATGGATCCCACATCAGCTCATATGCGGCTCAGTAAGAAGCAAAGAAATACACTTGGCCTTTCTTTCTCTTCCTGTTTTACCAAATTCTGTGCCACTGAACATGACCAGAAATGACAGAACACTAACGTATTAGTCTTAGGTTTGGGGGAGAAAATAAGCAATTTGACAAAACACTTGTCTAGTTCTTCCATCCTCCAGTGCTGAGGGGTAAAGTAGATGAAACTCGGGTATATGTATCAGGCGGGTTAGGCTAGGCTTTGCTGCAGTAACGAACAATTTTTAAATCCCAGTGGCTTTTAACAACATAAGTTGATTTTTTGTTCATGGTACATGTTCATTGTTGGGTTGGCAAGGGCTCCTAGACAGATAGAACAGCCACCATCTTCACTGTGGTCAGTCACCATCCCAGATGGGAAATAGAAATTAAATGACTCATCACTTTCACTCACAACTCATGGGCCAACCACAGGGGACCAGATTGTACAGTCTTACCATGTGTTGGAGGGGTAACACGGGAAGCAGCACTGTTGATGTCCACGGTAGCTAAGTTCCAGCCTTGTGTTTGATGGATGGGGGAATAACATGTAGAGGGAGAATAAAAAGGACGCCAATCTCAGGGAGGTGGAAAGGAAGATGGGCTGAGAGGATGCTGGGGTGGGATGAATGAGCCTAAACGTCCCATGAGTATATGATTCAGTCTTTTGAAACTTGAGTTGCCATTTGTTGCTTAAAAATACAGAATTTCAGATCTCACCCCAGACTGGACAGAGTTAGAATCTGCATTTTAACAAGATCCCCAGCTGATTTATATGCCTTAAAGTCTTCCCTGGTGGCTCAGTTGGTAAAGAATCCTCGTGTGATGCAGGAGACCCCGGTTCAATTCCAGGGTCGGGAAGATCCCCTGGAGAAGGGATAGGCTACCCACTCCAGTATTCTTGGGCTTTCCTTCTGGCTTAGCTGGTAACGAATCCACCTGCAATGCGGGAGACCTGGGTTTAATCCCTGGGCTGAGAAGATCCCCTGGAGAAGGGAAAGGCTACCCACTCCAGTATTCTGGCCTAGAGAATTCCATGGACTATACAGTCCATGGGGTCACAAAGAGTC